AGGGTTTAGGGTTTAGGTTAAGGCTCTCAGAACTCTAAGGGCTCTTAGAGCTCTTAGGGCTCTCAGCGCTCTTAGGGTTTAGGGTCTAGGGGTTTAGGGTTTAGGGTTTAGGGTCTAGGGGTTTAGGGTTTAGTAGGGGTTTTTACGGGGTTCAGGGTTTAGGGGGAAGTCTTACAACATCGCCCTATACAATGGTTATTTAAGGTAATGGGATTAAGGGTCCCTATTAGGGGTCCCTCCTAAAGTCCTTAGATCTTACAACAACGCCCGGAAGCCTTCACCACTGGACACACGAAAATCCAGAGTTTGGGCCGTCTCTTCCTTTGGAGAAAGGCAACGATTCCAAAACATAAGTAAGTTTTCTGTCGCCTAAAGCTAACTCTAATAATTACAGCCCCTACATTATTCCGTTTATTCAAGGCAGCTTTTGCTTTAAAGACATCCATACCTGTACCCTCAGCTCTGTACCTCACAACCTTAAACCCTAAACCCCTAAACCCTAAGCTCACGTCGATTTCCGCCAGAATCGCGCCGAGTTTTATCCGGCTCTCCATGTGTGGCGTCTCGCAAGCAGTGGACGTGCTTCCTCCGGGTGTCAGAATTGTTGTTTCTGTAGGGGCTTGAACAAGAACCTTGATTTGTTAAGATTTCCGGTTTGGGGTTGAAGTTGCAGCATGAGGTGGAAGCCCTGCACTCACGAAGCACCCGTCACATCGAATGTGCCTAGGTACCGCACCGCCGTGGGCTCTCGATACCGGAACTCGATGAAGTGGGCAGACGAGGCAGATGATAATTTGGTTCAGGTTTAGGGTCTGTTGATGGCCGGTTGTGATCTTGAAGGCGGCGAAGATGATGACACGCATGGTGCGGTTGGCGACGATGGCAAATTATAGTCATGGTGTGATGATCACGAGGGTCAACAGTGTCGTGGTCAGCATGATGAGCAGAAACCAAAACATAAGAACAACGACCCCGTCCGGACCGTTCCTGTGATGGTGATAGCTATGAAATGAAAGTCCAACCTGTGAGGGTCTCGGTAGCCATAGTAGGTTTAGGGTTTAGGGTTTAGGGTTATAGTAGTCA